AAAAAAAAAAAAAAAAACTACAAGCTGCACAAAAATAGAAAAAAAAGAAATAAATGCAATCGTCCATCTCGACTTTGAAAGTTGAATCCTGTACAGAAGTGTCAAAGTTAGGGGTGCAAGCGTAGACAGAGAGACTGTATTCATTGCTGCCCAATCAGCATTTCCTGCTGTGTGAGTTTAAATGTAAAAGGTGGAGCATTATACAAATGTAGAAAAAAGATTAACAGTCAATTAGCTTAGTAACAATGTGGAAAAGTGAGAGTTTTCAGACCACATTCAACCATTCCTTTGAATTCCATTTTCACACCCAACCACACCTTCCCAGTCCACGATGCCCGTTGTTCCATCTGAAGCATACCAGCAGCTCGTAGAATAAAAGAGGATGTCTTGGAAAAAGGGTGAAAGACAAGGCCGGCACAACGGTGATGGGAGGTGAGGATGAAGAGGGGGCGTGAAGGAGAGAAATGACTGCGGGAGAGAACGTGGGGGACAAGACGAAGGCAAAGTGGCAGTACAGAGGAAGAGGACAAGGTTGGAAATACACATGAAAGGGGTGAGAGCACTGAGGAGGAAAAGGGGAAAGGGAGGTGGGAGAAGATAAAGAGTGGGGGAAAAAACACAAGGAAGACAACTGGAGGGGGAGAGAGCAGTAGTGGGTGAGGGAGCAGTCATAGAAGGAGAGAGAGAGAGAGAGAGCAGGGTGGGGGTTGTGGCTTCCCCTCTTGACTGCTATTGATTTTCTGTAAGCCTCAGAGTGCATCAGCTATTTCTATCCATTTCCTCCACCTCTCCCTCCCTTTCTCATCCCCCCCTCTCTACACTCGCTCAGACACCCTCCTCGCACATCCTCCTCCTCCTCACACTCTCCATCACTTCATCACCATCCCTCCCTGCCACCGATCTATTTCCCTATCTGCCGGCCTGTCTCTCTCTCCCCCATATATTCCTGCTGCTTTATCTCACAGCATCCACATTTCCTTGCTTTCCTGAGATCGCACCATCTCTGCCCGTGATCTCCATCACCCTCTCTCTTCAAGTCTTTTCTCTATTAAACTACCTCTTCCTTTCTCGTGTCAAAACAGAGAGAGACACGCGAAAGTGCGTGAATGGAGAGGCTTGTTGGATAGATAAGATGATAGATAAGTGACAGTCTTGCTTAACAAATCACCAGCTCAACAGGAACAAATGGGGGAAATGGGCAGAAACCTTGTTGACTGCTGCAGAACTTACGAATTTACATACCATGTACAGGAAGTAAAGACACTATCAGCAGAGCATATGTGTAACGCACACATGCACGCATAATATATACACACCTCTCACGTCACCCCGCCTCCTGAACACATGTCACAGCACACTTCACACCCTGGTGCAAAGCAGAGTCGAGTAACAAGCTGGCATACAGGCTTAAAATAGGAGTGCATGTAACGCCTGCCCAGCCATTACCTGCCTAACACTGCTTCACACAGGCCGGGTGGCAAGTGTGTGTGTGCATACGTACGTATAAAATAAGGGAATGATTCTACCTCTCTCCCATTGCGTTGCCCTCCTCTTTTTTTTGTTCTTTCCTTCCTCATTATCTTCCTCATTATCTTCCTTTCTGTTCGGTTACTGCAGCAGTCCTTGAGGTTGCTCCTCCATCCTGCACTTCTTCTCAATTCTGAAAATTGCTTCTACATCCCACAGAACATACAACAGTTTATGTGCCGTCTACCTTTATGATCTCACTTTCACTTCTCTAAACTTCTTCTCAGTGCAGTTAAGTTTCATGTCTTTTTGACAGTCCTGTTCCCACTAACTGGCCCACCCAGGCAGCCACTAAACAAGACATGTGCACATACACAGTCAGCAGAGGCACATGAACACAGTCAGAGCAAACCACTCCTTCGCACTCCTCCTCATGTCCTGACAATCTCCCTCTCCTCCTTATCCCCCAATGAAAGACAGAAGCCAGCTGAGAGTGAGTGTTAGATGACAGAAAGTGATGGACAGAAAGGCAGAGAGAGATGACAGTCTTAATTCTTTTCTTCCATCATAAATCTCAACACTACCACCACAGACGGAGCTATCAGCTCATTCAAACGACATTCTGAGCAACTAAATGGAAATAGCTTGTAAGAAATGTACTTGTTCTGTGTCTTTGGGGCAACCCATGGACAAATTACAGCCCAGAATCAATGGCAGTACACAGAATACGGGCAAGTTTTGAACTGAAATTCATTAATCATTTATTCTTGATTAGGGTTCTTAGGTATTCTTTAATTTTGCATCAGTAAGTGACTAAACCAAACTATACTATATGTCTGTAAGATTCAATGGTTAAATGGTAGGTATCACTTTATTTAGATGTAGGAAATACCATAGTGACGGCACACACACATGCACACTCAAATCAGTAAACCTTAAAACAAGAAGACATGCACACCAACACATTTGATTTCTTGGGTGAAAATAACAAATGCATACATAGTAGGCAATAATACATGTGCAAGCTCCATAGGCAATATCTTCAGCCCGATTTGAAATGCAAAAAGCATATGATAATTTATCAGTCTAAGTCCAAATACATCTAATGGCTAAATAATTACAGTCATTCACAAATTTACATTCCAACTAAAACAACTACTTACTCCACCCAAAATAAATCTAAGACAAAACATAAGCCCTGTAGAAACTTTTGTTTACATATAAATATCTTACTGAAACTTCTCAAAGCATTCCTGCAGCATGTTCAACCCCTCTGCCCCTGTCTGTATTGTCAGTATGCTTCGCGCTCGTTTTGCCAAAATACAACAAACAAAAAAGAGGTTTTCTTACAAATATAAAAGTCTACAAAACAACCAAAACAAACTTATTTACTACTTCAATCAGCATCTACACAGACTTGCAGTGGGGTGCTCAGTCCATGTATATGTGCAGTGCCAACTCAATTTGCATAACAGTTACAACAGAGGCAGAAAGAGGACAACAAGAGATGGAAATAACGGAAGGACACAGACAGGGGTTGTGTTGAAACAGCAAGCAAAAGCTGAAGATGCTAACTGTTGAGACATAGAATTACTACAAAAGCAGCTGGAAGTTAAAATACAACTGAGCTGAAGAAATGGTAAAAATCACTCTTGGCAAGTGAGAACTGACTCATCTTTAAGCTGGCTTTCAAGGTTTATTTTTCCAAGGCGTTTAAGAGGATCTATTGGTAGAAATGGAAAATAATATGCTTAAGTATGTTTTCATTAATGTATCAACGGAAAATATATATATATATATATATATATTTTAAGAATGAGAGGTTTTTAATCTACAGACACTGCGGATCGCCTCCCCTCTCCCATGTTGAACCGCCATGTTTCTACAGTAGCCCTGAAAGGACCAACCAAGATGAAGAAGAACTCTAGACAGGATGCCTTTTTATTGTGTGGTGTGGCCACCGTAGTTTCTTATTTGCGCTTGGAATTGGAGGGTGACGCAAGAGAGTTGCAATCTGCAACCACACCAATAGACACTAAATCTTACAAAACTTAATTATTGGTTAATGGAAGTCCCACCACAGATACCTAGGATGTACATTTTGACATAATAATATAAGAGTAATATGAAGTTTCTAGTCCAGTCAGTGAGATCGAGAGCTACACAACAGCACAAACCCAGCTGCCTTAAGACATACTCTAGAACTACATCGGGTGGACTTTGTAACCACAGAATTGCACCCATGACACAACCAAGCCACATCCGCTGGACATTCCCAGTTATATCAACAGGACAGGAGGCTAACATGCAAACAGCAGAAGCAAACAACCCCTCCCTCCCTTCCCCAAATCACTCAACATTCATTCATGCCTTCCTCACACATACCTTTACCTAAACTCACAGACTTAAGCGTCTTGTATAATCGCTGTTCCCGACCTGTCACGCGACAACATGACGGCAAAATGACGGCAAAATGACATAGATCTCGCTGGCGCGCCAGGATTCGCGCCAGGTGGTGCACCACTTCAGCTGAGAGTGCCAAAGCCGAAACAGGAAGTTGGACGAGTAATCTCTTTTCCAACATTCATGGCAAGAAATCGCCATGAATGTTGGAAA